TCATCACCAAGGTCGCGTAGCCTCCCCTACCTCCTTTTTCACTCTCCAGCCCTTATTCTCATTCCATTTTCTTCTTCTCACTTATTTTATTACTTGAACTAGTTACATGTTCCCCTCTACCCCCTGGAATGTGCTTTTTTTAAGGGTGGCAGTCCATCCCTCTTTACTTAGTCCCCAATACTCACATGATGCCAGCACATGGTAGGTGCTCAGTTTGTTCCCTCATTTCCTATGAAGGTCAGTCACCAGGCCTGCACTAACTGACCAGCAGTGACAGGCAGATAAGAGCAGGGCCCGTGGCTGGAGCTGGAGGTGAGATGAGAACGCAGTCCGCTCGTAATGTCATGTGAGGCCCAGTGGTTTTCAGACCCCAGGCCACCATCAAGGTGAGAGGCGAAAGAAGAACTGTATGTGCTCAGAGCCTGCTGAGACCAGACCTCTGCACCTCATGGATCTATATTCTCATTTCTTTGCCTTTTGCACTGAGGCTTCTCTGCATTCCAGTGTGGTGAATCGGTAGACCCTGAGCAGTCTTATGTCCACTGATCTTTAAGCTGGAGCTCAGCAGTGCAGCCACAGACATAGAATATTGACAACGATCCATACCAGCAGTTCCAAGCCCCCTCTTCCTGCACCTGGTTACTCCCTAAGGTCCTCTTGATTTCCCCTCCATCCAGCAAAGCAGAGTTTCTGCTCAGGATGGTTGCTTGGGGCTGAGCATACCAGTGGTGGAATAGTTTCAGTGCTTCTGTCGGTGAATTTACCTTTGGGCATTTCCTAAGAGAACCTGCTATAGGCCAGAACTGGGAAGGTGCGTGGGGTCATGTCTTTTACAGCCTGCAAACCCTTCCACTGCCCAATCACTGATTCACAATCCAGACCCTTTAAGCGTAAAGGGATCCTGGAAGTCCCCCTGGGCAGCTTAGAAGCTGGTAGCCGGCTTGGCCTCAGGGGGTGGGAACAGAGTGTGCAAAGAATGTAGCTTTGTCCCGGACATACTTCCTCCGCTGTTGTCTCTGCCTCAGGGAGAGGGCTTGCTGCCTTTCTGTAATTTCCATCTGGGTCACCAGTCCTGACCAGGAGGGCTGTGATTATACCCAGCTTAATTTGGACATTATGCAATCACTGGGGCTCTCAAAATGCAGAGTTTGCAGGGTTAACAGGCTGCTGTCATTTGATTGGGGCCCTACACAAATACCCCATGGCCTCAGGCAGCCACAAGGGAAGAGGGAGACAATGTGCAGAGGCAGCATGCAGAGTGGCAAATGCACCCAGGCCGACCAGGAACCTGGTCTTCGGCACTGGTATTCAAAGTCTGGGGTCCACCTCAGCAAAAGCATTTGGTGTCACACACTTGCAAATACAGCCCACTAGGTTCTTAGTAAAACATTCCAGTGACTTTTTTAAAGACAACTTTATATTGAGAAATAATTCATATCTCATACAGTATACTCATTTAAAGTGTGTAATTCAAAACACTTTTAAAAATATTCTCAAATATGTGCAGCCATCACCACAATTAACTTAAGAATGTTTTAATTATTTCAAAAAGAAACCTGCACCCTTTAGTAGTCACTCCCCACTTCCCCAACCTCCCAGTCCATTAATCTATCTTATGCCTCTATAGATTTGCCTATTCTGGACATCCCCTATAAATGCAATTATATAATTTGTAACGTGTTCTGACTGGCTTCTGTCACTTAGCATAATGTTTTCAAGGTCCGTTTATGAGTAGCATGTGTCAGTACTTCATTCCTTTTTATGGCTGAATAAGATTGCATTTATGGATAGACAACATTGTGACTTTGATTGGCATTTCTCTGATGATTAGAGATGTTGACCATCTTTCCACATGCTTATTGGGCATTGTACCCATTGCATTTTTGTAAATTGCAAGATATAGCTTACATGCAAAGAACCCCACAAAGACCATCTATGTTTATTTAAAAGAATAATTATGAAGCAACTATATTAAGGAACAGAACATTGCCAGAACCCCAGAAGCCATCTTGGTGACTCTCACCAACCAGCGTCTTGGTATGTGTGTTCCTCATCTCTTTACTCTCTATAAGTCCCCTCTGTATGTGCTCTGAACAACCCAATTTTGCCCACTTTTGAACTCGGTACAGATGAAACAGTTCTGTGGAAATCTTTAGATGGCTTCTTTTCCTCCGCACTGTGTTTCTGTGGCCGTTTGCTGACACTGCCCTACAGTGTGCTATTGAGTACACATGCCTCAGTTCATTCATTCTACCATGATGGATGGACACCCAGATGATACCCAATTTGGCAATGTCATGAACACCGCTGCTGTGAGCACCCAGGAACCTCCTTCCTGCACACACAAGCATATGTTGCTCTGGGCTACACAACTTGCACTGAGGCATAGTTTCTGTGTATTTTCATCTTTGAAGACGCTGCTGTGTCTGCTCTCCAGCCAGCAGTGTGTGCGGGTTCCAGGAGCTCCTTGTCTTGGCCAGCACTGAGCAGAATCAGAATTTGTCTGACATCCCCAGCATTTCTGTGCTGAAGTCCCTGACTGCACCAAGATCACAGTCAGCCAGGCTGTCATGCCTCAGAAATACTGCCTAACCCTGCCGCCAGCATGTATCACACATCTCAGCCTTACTCCTTCCATGTGATTTTTAGGTCAAGGCAGAAAGGTGGGCTGGACATTTGGGAAATCTCTCTTCACTGACGACCAAAGGGATGTCTGTGTTATTTGGGTTGTTACTCATCAGCATAAGCTCTAGGTGTGGGGAGGTCACATGAGGGTATTGGCACCTCGTATGTGCTGTGTCACACTTGGTGTCCTGCTACTAAAGAACCTACCAGTCAGGATCTCAACATTCGGGATGTTTGCCTTGTTGCTGGCTTGTTTTGTTGCAGGTACTATGGTTAAAACACAGGTGACCCTTCCTTCCCGTTGAGTATATTGACCAAGCACTTGTCATTTCCTCCTGGAAGCAGAACAACTAGGACTGGTCAGACCATAAATAAAGGCCCATTCTTGGTGACAAACCTCTGTGTCCCCAGCACCTGCATAGGCCCAGCATAGAGAGTAGCACTAATGACTACTTTTTGAATGTCTGATTCTGTTCTAGCACCCTGACTTTGGTAAGAAAAGATAAAATTGCCTTCACTCCATATTTCAGTGAAGACAGCTGAGCCCCAGAATGGGGTGTGACAACCCCAAGGCACGTAGCAAGTAAGCAGGCCCAACCCCTTGATTTGCCTCTCAGCAACAACACTCTGAATGCCTCAACCACCAGTGTGCCCACTCCAGGAGTTAGCTGAGCCTCAGCTTTTCTCTGTAAGTGGGATCATGCTTACCTGAAGGAGTTAAATAAGATGGCATATATAAAAGAATGGGTCCAGTCTGTGTATAGGCAGTTAATAACTGTTCAGTTACTTCCTCATTTATTCACTTATTTTTTTTACTGTGTAACAGGCAAAAGTAATTTGACAGTCTAGAAGAAAGCTATAAAAATGCTCATATACTGTGACCCAGAAACTATGCTCATTCACACATCCCCATCCCAATGCCTGGTACACAGTTGGAGCTTAATCAATGTCTATTAGGATGAAATAGGCTGAAGATGATGAGAAAGGAAGAGAGGTTTCAGTTCTAAATACAATTGCTTCCACATTATGTATAGTTAAGAAGAAAGAAAGAAGGAAAGAAAAAGAAAAGAGGGAGGGAAGGAAAGGAAAGAAAATTTTTTTAAAAATGTAAATATCCCTGTACTATGGGAGCGTCTAGTAAATGCTGCCTTCTTCCATTGCTGGGATATTCCAAAGCTGAGGTTAGCAAAACACAGCCCAAAGGCCATGTCTGGCCCACTGCCTATATATGTAAATAAAAATTAAATGAAAACCAGCCACTTAGTTTTACCTTTAACTTCACAGTGTGTTATCTTTAGTGTCCAACTTTTCTCACTTAACATTATGTTTTAGAGATCTGTTCTTTCCTGTATTAGTAGTTCATTCTTTTTCACTGCTACCTAGTATTTGATTGTATGATTATAATTAACCACTATTTATTATTATTCCCATTCTACATATGGAGGAACTGCAGCACAGAGGGATAAAGGAAGTTGCCCAAGGATACATAGCAGGTTCATGTTAAAACTGGAATTTGAATCCAGGGTCCAGAATCTGTGCTGCCATCTCCCCACCCCACCTCAGCCCCCGCATACAATGCTGCCTCTTGTGTAATGACAATGGAAGCCCAAGGGTCTCAGGAACTCAGAAGAAGGGGCACTGCATCCAGCCTGGTATCCAGGGAAATATGCCAGGGAAGTTTAAATCAGAGCCATGGTTTCCATACTTATGTGTCCACAGGGCCTCGCAGGTATCCTAAGTGATCAAAGCAGTTGACCTCTGAAAAACCATAGCTTAGAGTCAGGGAGGCAATAGGGAGCATGAGGACTATGGCAAATTGAAGGATACCAACCAAGAAGACAGCTGCTGGTATAGCTCTAAGTATTGTTGCCATATGACAATGCCAGCAGATATTGTGGTGAGCCAGGACACAGCAGGACAACCAGGCTGGCATTTGTGCCCAGATTCTATTGCCAGGAAGTCAGCGCCCAACTGCACCAGTTATTAAATAATTTAATTATCACTCCAGAGTTGCCAGATGCACTTTCTGTTTGCAAAAAACAAAACAAACAAAATATGGAAGTCTACCTTTGAAACTCTCCTGGTTCAGAAATTATTTTAAACCTGTGCAGACCAAAGAGAACTTATGTGTGGTCTAGACTGGCCTGAACAATCTAAGGACCACACAGGAGTTGGGAGGCAAAGAAGGCAAGTTAGTTCCAGGTGGAAGGCACAGCACAAAGGCAGGAGATGAGAGGAATTTGAATCCAGGCCTGAGTTTCCTGCACGAAAAAGAAAAATAAAAACCAAACGCAGCTAGTTGGGGGATGGGGTGGGCCAGCCTGGATCGTGCATGCAATGATGTGCACTGTGTTCTTCCCCGCCCACCTCTGCAGATCCTAGAGGAGAACATGAAGCTGGAGTGTAAGTGCCACGGCGTGTCAGGCTCCTGCACCACCAAGACGTGCTGGACCACACTGCCACAGTTCCGCGAGCTGGGCTATGTGCTCAAGGACAAGTACAACGAGGCTGTACACGTGGAGCCTGTACGTGCCAGCCGCAACAAGCGGCCCACCTTCTTGAAGATCAAGAAGCCACTGTCATACCGCAAGCCCATGGACACGGACCTGGTATACATCGAGAAGTCACCCAACTACTGTGAGGAGGACCCTGTGACAGGCAGCATGGGCACGCAGGGCCGTGCCTGCAACAAGACAGCTCCCCAGGCCAGCGGCTGTGACCTCATGTGCTGTGGCCGTGGCTACAACACCCACCAGTATGCCCGTGTGTGGCAGTGTAACTGCAAATTCCACTGGTGCTGCTATGTCAAGTGCAACACCTGCAGTGAGCGCACTGAAGTGTACACGTGCAAGTGAGCTCAAGACCACACTGCACCTGCCTTCGAGTCAGGTCCCTTGTGGGGCAGACCGGTCTCCAAGCTGCCTTTACCCTGGCAGGTCACTTCCCAGGCCTCCATAGGGATGCTGAGCTTGTCTTTTCTGCTGTGGAGGCACCTCTGGGGTTTCCTGCAGGCACCTGTGGGAAAGGGCTCTCCAGAGCACTTAGGGTTCTAGTCCACACCCAGTGCCGCTCCACCCTACTCCAGGCACTGCCTGGGGCCCTCCTTAGCTGCAGCAGAACCTTTCACAGCAGAAACCCTAGATCCTTGGGCCTCATCAGAGCAATATTTAACAATTTATTCTGACTTTAAAAATAATATTAATTTATTTAATTAAAAAAAATCCTCCCACTCATCGGGATCCGTTTTCTGCAAAATGGGCTGTTTGCTTTCTTTGCAGGAAAATTTTGTTGCTAGGACAAGAAGCCAAGTAGAACTATACAAAGTTATTCTTTATCCAGACATTTCTACTAGTTGATTCAGCAAATATCCCCTGCACTAGATGTTTAAGAACAGAGATATCCATATCCTTTACGTATATAGATATACATACACTTTTTTCTTTCTTTCTTTCTTTCTTTTTTTTTTTTTTTTTTTTGCTGTTTGCTGCTACTTATCCAGAATTTTAAGTTGGTCCAGATTTGGAGATGTTTTTCAGAAAACATTTCCTATCCTTTAGTTCTCCCCAACCCAAACTTCACCATTAGAAAAATCTGGTTTGGAATATATAGAAAGAGGAAAATAACTCCCAGCAGTTCCCATCTTTTGGAAAGTGAGCCTCTGGATAAGAGAGAATATTTTGTAAGAGACTATTTTTATATGAATATTTTATTTATATTGAGTCTGACTATGTCATTCCAAGGCCTGTGCTTCTTCTTAATTCTGGACTTGCTTTGGTGTAAGGAGGACAAGGCCTGGGTATGGAGTCGGGCCCCACAAGGACCCTCACGCGGCTGGGTTTTCCGGTTCTGTTAGCCAAATGGGCAAAAGCGGCCAGTGGTTGCCAGGTCTGTGGTGCCATCCATGTTACCTGGGAAAGGATCTAGGATCTAGATACTCAGCTTCAGCCTATTAAGCTCAGGCCTTTAGAGCACGGTCAGAGTGGTGACCTCATGATGAGCCATGTGGTAGGTAGGTCTGTGTGCCCTTAGCACTGTGTAAGCATCACAGGGACTTGGTCATTGCCATTCGGCAGAACCCAGCTCAGGGAGCCTACTCCTCACCAGAAAGCCCTTGCCATTGCTCTGTGTCTCAGCAAGGGGGTAAGAGTGAGGTGTAGTCCTCAGTTACAGGGCAGAAAAGGTTGAGTGACGAGTATCATGAGCAGCTGGGTTCCCTGGATGTCACAGTCCCAGGGCAGACTGTCAGAGAGAGGGGTGGACGAGGCCTCTCTGCTCTGGGTCCACCTTCATCCAGTGCCTCTGAACTTGGAAAGCTTTCTTCAAGGAGGCTGTGTGTGTTCTGTGTCCATTTGTGTGTGTGTGTGTGTGTGTGTGTGTGTGTGTGTGTGTGTGTGACTTTGGGGAGTCTTGGGGTAGTCATGTGACCCTGTACTTTCAAGTACCTCTGCGGTGCTGATGTGTGTATTTCTTGTGTGTTCCTGTGTGTACCCAACTATCTCTGTCTCTCTCCACCTGTGTGCCCGAGAAATTTGGGTGGTATGTGCCTGTGGTGTGTGCCTGTGCATCTCTGCTTGTTGAGGAGGGCTTGTGGTGTTGAATCAAACTATAGAGACCCTTGGCAATTGTAGTGAGCCACCAAGAGATGGCACCTCTGAATTCTATGCCCACAGACACTGGATAAACTCAGGTACTTCTGAGACCACAGCCCCATTGCCCCTTGACAGGGAGTCCTCCATGTCTAGGCTGTATTGGACACTCCAATGTCAGCCCTGGGCCTGGATCACAGCATGGACAAATAAAATGGCTGGACAGTTGGTTGATTTCTTCCCTTGGACCATTTTTTTCTTCTTTACTTTGGCGTCAGGATGGATAGGCATGTGAAGGAATGAGTGGATGGATGCATGGATGGATTGATGGATGAATAGATAGAAGGATAATGGATGGATGGGTGGATAGATAGATGGGTGGATAATAGTTGGGTGAATGGATTGAGGATAGATGAATGAGTTTGTGGGCGAGTGGGTGGGTGGGTCAATGGGTAAGTGAAGAGGAAATGCAGAAGTTTCTTGAAGCCCCTCATGTCATAGTTGATCTGCCTTGGAAAACCTACAATGTGTACCATGAGCAAAAAAGCTTCCCAAGCATTCAGTTCCTTTGTTGTTGACTGGCCTCATGGTACCTGAGAATGAGGGAGGTTCTGATCAGCCTCTCCAGATGATCATTTAATGTTAATCACATGAACATGATACCAGAAGTCACACCTATGTGTTATCTTGCTATTCAGATGAGGAGTGGGCCTGGCAGGAGGGCAGCTGGGCTTGGGAGGGGAATGGCTGGGTTGGCTGCCAGCTTACCACTTGGTTCCTTAGCAAACTTTTAGTTTCCAGCCTAGGGGCCTGCCCTCGCTCTGAGGTGCCCAGTTCAGCTGTGCTCTAAGCTTGTTTCTCCATCCTTAAAAAGTGGGCTAAAAATACCTACCTCACAAGGTTGTTGTGATTGTATGGCACTTTGAGTTTCAAAGCAATGGATGAATGCTAAATATTATTACTATTAATTATTACTATTATTACTATTCTCTCCACAATAAGATTCATCATACCCAGCTTATGATAATAAATATTTTGCTCTCTGAGGTACTTTGCTTTATTCCTAAAGTGGCTTTTCAATAACACTGACATTAGAAAAGCAAAAATTTTAAGAGGCTGAAGCAAAAAATTAGAAAGTATAGAACTAGAGTGTCAAAAGCTCTGGGCCCAGGTGCATAACAACTGTGGGAAGTGAGCCGCTCAACACAGGCCCATTATAGCTACAATGGAATGTGGGCCTCGTCAGAGCCAGACCCTCGGATTTTTCAAGAAGGTTTGAACATCCGTTTTTCTTTAAAGTAAGATCTTTCTCTCTTGCTCTCTCTTTTTAAATATGTTAGCAAACACCATAAGGATGGAGCAAATCATGACTGAAAGCTGAACATGATATCTGTACCACCAGGGTGTAGCCTCTGACTTGGACCAAATCTCTTGTTCTAGAGATGGAGAAACTGAGGTGCAGAGGGAGACAGGGCTTTATGCAAGGCCACACAGCAAGCCTAGCAGAGGGACGGCCAAGGACAGGATTTGTGCCTTTTAGGAAGGCCAACACAGTGCACCCCTGAGGCAACAAAATAATGTGTAGGGGTGAGGTGGGAAGGATGAAGTTCTTGTTCGGATGTATGTACAGGGTGCAAGGGCCGGTTTACAGTTGTGGGTATGCAAAGCAGAGTTTATTCCCGCACTATTATTAATTAGTATATCATTTTCCATATGAACAGTTGTAAATCTACTTTTCCCCACCCTATGTGTTTTCACATGTGTGAACACTCGTACTCCCACGTGCTCTTTGGACTTAAATTCAGAGCTAGCTCAAGGCTCCGTGGCGATGGGCCTGTGCCCTGAACTACTCGGTGGGGGTGCCCTGGCAGCCAGCCAGGGGAACCCCGAAACCTTTCATTCCCCGACCCAAACCCTTCAATCAAGAGAATCCCTTAGCAACACTCAGGTTAGGAGAGTGCTGAGTTGGCACAGTTCTCTACCTGAGATGGAGCTGTCCCATGCAATCTTCAAGGCAAGATGTGATGTGTTTCCTGAGACCTTAGGAGGCTTCCATCCCCACTTGCATATGAGGACGAGTCTCAGGGAAGAAAAGTGAGTTCTTCAATATCCTGCCACCAGGAAGTGAGGAAACAAGGGCTGTAGTCTTGGCTGCCCTATATCAACCCATGGCACTTCTGTATGAGAGTCTTCTGCCTTCTAACAGAAGCTTAAGGAAGATAGAGAGAAAGAACTGTGGACCGCATAGGGTACACAAGTCTTGCAGATTGTTATTGTCAACTTTTCCCCACCTTACTGAAGGTATCCAACAGGTCACCAAGATCTGGCACTTCTTCCCCGGGGGCGTTGCATAGCCCACCCACCTTCCTCACTGACTCTGGCCACCATTTTCACTCACCTAGGAGAATGCCACCACCTCCTCCCAGGTCTCCCTACTTCCACCCATGCCCCATCAAGCCAGCCTTCTGAACTCTGGCTAGACCGATCCACTCTCTGCCTACACCCAGATGTGGCTCCCCATTTTTCTGCAGATACAGAGCAAGTTCATGAGTCCCTCATGACCTGGTCCTTGCTATGCTGGCAGCCTTGCCTATGCCTCTTCTGCACAGCAGTAACAATGCTGTCATTTGTTAAGTTTTTGCTCTGTGTCAAGCAAGGTCCTAGCAATTTTCATGGCTCCTCTCTTATTTTCACACCAGCCTCTACATATTGTGCCTTTGCTGTGTTCTCTGCCATAGCACCCACCTTCTTTTCCTCCACCTGACAGACTCCTGTTGCTCTGAGGAGCCCTTCTGTGCTACTGCAGGAAAGATGTGATCTGGAGCCACCATGTGCAGGTGCAGCTCTGTTGTCATTCCCATCCTGAGCTCTTGAAATCGGAGCCACACTTATTCACAGTGCTCCAGAGCCACCTTCCAGCCGAAGGCAGGGAGATGAAGGGACTCACCCACACAAATCACTGACTGGACTCTATGACTAGGGCTCTTTGCCTGCTTGGGGAAGTGTATCAGTTAGCTATTGCTGAGTGACAAACCACCCCCAGACTCAATGGTTTCAAACAACTATATTATTGCTCCTAAGTCTATGGATGAGTTGGACAGTTGTTCTGATCTCAGCTGGGTCCCCTCATGGTCTGCTGTGGGTCAGGTAGGTGATCCTGCTGATCTTGGCAAAATTCTGTCATGTGTTTTGAGTTCAGCTGCTATAGGCTGGTCTAGAACGGCTTTAACTAGGACAAATGGGTCATCTGTCACATGATCTCATCCTCC